CTTCGGAACGGAAACAAAACGAACCCTCCGACGCCGCGAATGTGAAGTTAGAGCATTTGTAAACGGTGACAGTTGAATAAAGCTGTATTTCTTTATCATTATTTTGATTCAAAACGCGCAAGCTTTTCTTGCTGACAACTATTAATTCCTTTCTCTCTGGCGCGGCAATTGGATAAATCGATTTTGATTATGTGCGAAAGAACACTAATGAACTAAAAATGACATGGAAAAGTTAGAATGCGAGAAGCTGCCGCTCTCTCTCTCGCCCTCTCTCTATCTCTCGTTCTTTCTCCTTCTCTCTCTCTCTCTCTCTCTCTATCTCTGGCTCTCTCTCCGTTTCTTTTTTGGAGCCTCTTGACCGATCCGACCCGAAGACCCGGCAATCAACGAGCCCCCAGGGCAAGAGATTTGGCACTGGCACCGTCGATTTGTAGTCTATTGCGTTTTCCCCCCGGTCTATTTGAAGACCCCTAATTGATTTTGCCGGTCCGGGGCATTTGTTCATCTATAATAAAGTTTTTGTAGATATTTATATCAATGACTCGATCTTTATAGCTACTGAAAGACTTCCGAAATTTCCGATCAGGACTCTCTGTCTCACTCTTTTTCACTCCCTCTCCCTCTCCCTGTCGTCCTTTGTACTTCTGGCTTCCTCACGTTCATTTTATTGACCTGTCCGCCAAATTATTTTATGAATTTCAGGAGATGGACTTCAGTGCCTTCCCCGTCGAAGTCCAACATAACATTCTACGCCGTCTGAATATCAAAAGCTTCTTCAAGCTGGCGGTTAGCAGCAAAAAAAGTGCTGAGCGTTGCGAAGACGTGCCCGGACAAGGATTGGCACGTGGAGCTCGTCAAGCATTGGACAGGCTCTTGGCTCACGAAAATGCTCGATCGACGTCGGCCGAAGGATCGGCACGTGTACAACATGGGGGTCTTTCGGCTGCTATTCCATAAGGCAACGGTACACACTCTGCTGATTGGCACCCATATTCCGGACGATGTCGATCTCCGGTGCAAGAATTTGCACGACCACTACGAGAAGACGACGCTGGCAATGTTGAAACGCTATAAACCGGACGCGGGATACGACAAGATCACAATTCGTGACTTCGACGATCCGAACACCCAAGAATTCATTGATTGGCTAAATGTGTCGGTTCGCGCTCTGGTCGCCTCCATGATGATGTCACGGGAATGCCTAGGTTTTAAGGTACCAACGATGCGGCTGTGCGTAAACGGGGCAGTGTCCTTGGACGAATACGCGCATATTGTTGTTGACGAGTGGCTGCGTGGCAACCGTCAAATTACCGCCATCGACATCAGAAGTGGCGCCCACATCCCGGGCGGGGCACACCTAGCATTTTTCGAGCAGTATCCAAAGCTCCAAATGTCTCCATTTTACGACCACATCCACATCTATTATCGCATCCGACGGGATGATGGAAATGTGATGATCGTAAGGCGTATACATCGCCACCAAGAGCACACCCGAGGGATTGAGATCACAAGTCCCTCTGAGACGTGTATCGAAGAAGACCGCCATGAAAGAATCATTCGTGAATTCGTGCACTGTCGTTACTGAATAAATTTGCCACCTCTCGATAATTAATTTTGACGCTAAAGAGGAACCCCTACACTTAGGAAAAATACTCATCACAGATGGCCATCCTCGCTCCCTCTCCCCACCCGCTGTCTCTCTCGCTGTCTCTCTCTCTCTCTCTCTCTCAAACTCCCGCCATCTCCCTCTCCCTCTCTTTCTCATTTTCTCTCGCTCCTTCTCATTCTCTCCCACTCTTTCTATCTCTCTCTTTTTATTTCTCTCTTCCTCTCTCTCTTTCTCTCTCTCTCTCTCTCTCTCTCTCCCTCTCTCCCTCCTTCTCTCCATAAATTCGCGATCAAAAACTCAAATTACAACTTAATCTTGCATCCATAACAAGCTATGGGAATCGGAGAGAATGGGTGAAGGTCAGGGCGGAATGGTGGATCCCCACCTCCTCATTCTCCGCCCCCTCCTTTTTGCCTCGATTTATTCCCTCGCCCCTCACCTCATTCGATTCCATTTCTTCCCTACTTTCTCCGCCGGCTCATATTGATCCTCATCCAAGTTTTTGAGTTCTTTTTTTGGGGGAATGATTTTAAAAAAACTGATCGATTTCGGAATAAAAGAATTTATCGTCGTTTTCAAAGGTTATTAAAGGAATTCGCAAGGCAAGGCTATGGGCTTGACTGTATATGGATTCCATATCAATTTTTAGAATTCCAGCCAAAAATCCCGACAGCCAAAATCGCGACGGCGAAAATGTGATACTTCCGGTCGTCCGACCCCCAAATGGTTTTAAAATTGGGGGTTTTAAGTTTGGGGTTTTGGGGGTGGGGGTTTTTGGTTTGGGTTTTGGTTTTGTTTTGGCTGTAGAGATTTTGCATGTCGGGATTTTGGCGTTGTCCCTTCACATGAACTTTGAACGTGAGCTAGTAACTTTAGCTTTCCGATACCCCTAAGATCACTTTTAGCACGAGCTTTTGAGTTCTAATCTAAAATTTCGTGACCGCAATGATCCGAAACCAAGGCCATGACGTCCAACAACTGGTCACCGACCCCCATTTCTCAACTTTTTTTCTTGGAGGAAACCCCATCAGTTCCCCTCAATTTTCTTTCTGCGTTTTTTTTCCCGAGTTGACAAACGGATCGCGGCGATTTGCGGGCGGAATGGAGGGAAAAATTGGGAAAATTGTGCCCGCCCGCCGAAATGGTCCATTTCGCGGGCCGATGTTCGTCTGTCCGTTTTTTTGCATCTGTCTGTCGGTCTCGGCGCTTTGTGTCCTTTTCGTCCTCCAGTTCGATTTGTGGAGGGCTTTTCACGTGAACCTTCCTCCTTGGCATGTTTGTTGTGTGGGGCTGCTCTGTATCTCTCGCTCTCTCTCTCTCTCTCTCTCTCTCTCTCTCTCTCACTCTGCCTTTTTCTATTTCTGTGAATCAGAGCGTCCCGATGCTTCACCTCTAAGCGGAACCACGCTTTCTCCAGTATTTTCGGAAGGGTCTTTTCATTTCCCACAAATTGTCTAAATTGTCGAGAATTCGCTTGTTGAAAAATCTGAGCGCCAGGGACAATTAAAAAATGATTTTGCACGTTTTCCGATAGGGGCCCGACTTGGGCCTGCTTCTTCACTCTCTCCCTCTCTCTCGCACCCTCTCTCTCTCTCTCTCTCTCTCTCTCTTCCTCTCTCTATTTCTCTTTCTCTTTCTCTCTATCAATCTCTCTATCTATCCCGCTCCACACCCATTTTAGCCATGCAAAAATGGCCGACCGTAACCAATGATCTTGACCTGAATGAGGGTAAAATCAACTTCACCACCCGAACCGGTGATGACGTGACGATTAAGGCTATTTGGCAGGTAGGATACCATAAATTTTCTGACAATACGTTGCACTTTTAGGATACCCTCCCTTTGGGATCCCATAAGGGTACCATTTTTGCGATCCATGGGTCCCCGGGATCTCACAATGATTTTAAATACATCGCTCATTACTTGAAGGAGACCGGGATACGTGTGATAGCTATGAATATGCCGGGTCATGGATATACACAAAGTAAGTGCGTTTAATGGATGATCTGGTAACGTAGATACCTCAAAAGTTACAACTAAAACCATCCCTTTAGAGCATAAGAAAATCGGCTTTGAAAACGAAGATCGTAACGCCTTTCTCCAAGCGATGCTGGATCATCTACAAATTGAGGGCCCGATTGTGTTTGTTGGTGGGTAAAATAATTTGTGTTTTGATTTGTGCAAATTAGGGCACAGTCGAGGCTCGGAAAATGCGATGGCAATATGTGCGAAGAATCAAGAGCAGGCGCAAGGACTCGTGTTAATAAATACCTCTGGACTTCGAATGCACAAGGGGATCAAGCCGTTTTTTATTATACAAGTGGGTGCAAGCATTCTCTCTCTCACTGTCTCTCTCTCTCTCTCTCTCTCTCTCTCTCTCTCTCTCTCTCTTTTCTCACTCTCACTGTCTCTTTCTCTTTTGCTCTCCTCTCGCTCTCTCTCTCTCTCACTCTCTCTCCCTGTTTCTCATTCTTTTCCGAAATTTTTTTTTGTGTGATATTTTATCAATTTTCAGTTCGCCTCCTGGATTTACAATGTCAATTTGTGGTCCGTCCAGAAGATGATCATGCACCCAATTTTATACCACGGTATTTTCCAAACCTGGATTCAACCTCTTACATTTTTCAGTCTACAAACGCATCGTGCGCCTCAAAACCCAAACCGGAAAAATTGCCGCCGTTTGCGTACAAAGTATGCGCACGTTTGGTCTCGAAAAACAACGGCCCTACGTCGAGGAGCTGAACGAAAATTCGGAAACCCCGGTTAGTCAAAGCCTTCTTCGGGGGGCTTTTTCGGGGCCGGCGCCATCTGCTTAGATTCCAATCTTGCCTGTCATGCCAATTGCGCGCTTCAGATCGTGATGGCGTATTCGGGCAAGGACTTCCTAATCGAGGACCAGATCGTCAGGGAGATGCTGGCCGAATTCGACGGTGCCGAGGAACTGGTTTGTTCGTTTGGTTTGTTGGCGTAGCTATGTAGCGTTACGTACTGTTCTTTACTGCCACATACGTACTGTCACGTACTTTTAATACTACTACTACTACAACTAATTCCTGCCTTTCAAATTCCTAAAAATCGGTGTGAAAATCAAAATTTTGCCTTGCCAATCCCTTTAAACCTGTTTCTAGATCCTCGACGATTCCAAAAGTGATGACGTCGAAGCGAAAGCCGCGAGATGGGTCCGCCAACGACTCCTAGAATCCCGAGCCCTCGGCGTCTGCTTCCAGCAGGACGGCCACTACCTCCAGAAATTCAAAGCCAAATTTTTGGCGGACACCATTGCAACGATGTGCCAATTGTGATTCCCCTGCTCAAAACCTCAGATACAACATTTTAATCACCATTTACCGGTACGAATTATAGACAATAACTGTCTTGTTCACGCTGCCTAGTTGATTTTCTCCAAGCCCTTTTCCTCCTCCTTGTTGTAGAGGCCGAAGCGCTTGCTCTTCTCCTCGGCCATTTTCTTCAGGTCCTCGTAGGTGATGTGGTAGCCTGAATAAAGGGTTTTCAAATGCATCCTTAATGCAAATTATCGCATTATGAAGACATTACAAAGCATTTAAAGGTATTGTGAAGTGCGAGCACCGACCCCAGCTGATGACTAGATCTCGACAGTTACGAGAGCTGCCGGAAAAATTAGGTTCAACATCTCTAAATGCCGCTCAACGTTGTTTTTCGCTATTTTTTTGGTTTGTCGATATTCAGTCACCGTTATAGGATCGACTTTCCGCTTCACTATCCCTTTAAAAACGTCAAATCTCTCACCCATCAACCGATCCAAGTAGTTGAACCACGGCTCGAAGCAGGTCAACGGCCTCAGGTGGTGCATATCATGCGCCGGGGCCCCGGAGTAAAAGAACAAGAATCGGTGGAGCGCGAATGGGAAGTCGTAGCCAAGATGTACCTTAAAACACCTTAAACAATACTGAAGTTATTTACCTCATAAGACACGGCCTGCGCGATGAAGAACCAAGCATAGTATGTTAGACAGTGCGTGGGGAATACCCAGGGGATTACTGTAGTTGGGTAGTTTTTTACGGCAGGTGTACTTACCAGTGATGAAGGTGCCGACGAAGAACAGCTCGAAGGGGTGGAGGTGCTGAGCAGCAGCTGCGAATGGTGAGGAGTACATATGGTGGACCGAGTGGCACCATCGATAGAGGAATTTGACCTAAAATTTGAGCTTGAGCTCGGCCTCAAAGGATCTAACTGAGGGATGACTTAGGCACGTCAGGAGGTTAAGGTCGCCGGGCGGGCGAACCCGGCCCCCGCCGGGAGGGGGAAACCAGAGAAGAAAACCGGGAGGGGGCCCCACCCCGCAAAGGAGGGATGGGTTACAGACGGGGGGCGCGGTCCCTAGTCTGGGACGTTGAAGGAACGGCCCCCCTGAAGTGCGCTTTAAGAAGCATATTCCATTACGCGCCAATTAACTAACCCACCTTATGGAACAAGAAGTGGAACCAAAAGTACGAAAAGTCGAAGGCCAGGAAGCAGAATGCAAGCTGGGTGACGAATTCGAAGACGGTTGGAGCAAGTGGGGGCAGGTGGATTGGTGGTACCCAAATCAGCTGAACGAGCGCCAATGGGTAGATCCTGAAAAGATAGTTGGTAATTGAACTCAAAACTATGGGCGTTTACGAAATTCATATATCCTAAAGAACTAAATTTTTGCAAAAATTAAAATTCTACTCAAAATCCGCCCGACCTTGCCTGTTTTCGAACTTAATTTCAAAGGTATTCTAGAACCAAGACTGCGCAGTTATTTCATGCTTTTTTGGAAAATTTTGGCCTTATCAGAGCTTTAAATTTTGATCAAAATACTCTCTTGTCGTCAGACTGCGTCTATGTGAATCAACGCCAATCGCTTATCGCCTCCATTAAAAATCCCAATTTCTGCCCATTTCTGACCGGCCACTACGCACCCGAACTCACCACAGCAATTGATTCCACATCTGCAAGAACAAGGATTTTTTGATCAGATCCCACGTAACTTTCCGGTCTTTCTGGATCTTGTGATTTTTGAAGAACGGTACGTCACAGAGGACGAGGTCGATGACTAAATTTCTAGCCTTAAAAAAAATTGAAAAAACCACATACATGTAAATACAGCTACAAAAGCATAGTCGATGCTGAGGGCGTAGAATGGAGGGAAGAGAGGGGAGGAGAGGATGTGCTCGTTTCCATCCTAAATTTTGTTTTAAGGCCGAAAACAATAAATTACTTGGAAAATACGCCAGATCAATGCGTATCGGATTTCTACTTACCTTTATATAATCCCAGACCGGCTGTAAAAATCGGTGCTCCTTTTCGAAGACAAGTTCTGCTGCTGTGAAATTCGGCTGTGGATACCAATGATGGAGCATCAAGCTAAATTTGGCAGTTACGAAGGATAGAGGGGGAGAGGGAGAGAGACCGAGAGAGAATGAGCGAAAGAGAGAAAAAGCGAGAGCGAGAAAGAGAAGAGAGATCGAGATAGAGAGAAAGAGAGAGAGAGACAGAGGTGAGAGGGAAAGAGGAAAGGGAGAGGAGGAAGGGGGGGGAGAGAGAGAGAGAGAGAGAGGAGAGGAGACTTAACGGGGCAAAATCAAGAAACTGATGTCCTTAAATTAAATCGAGGTAATGTATAAAAAACACGAAACAACAGCTTTATCCTATTTAATAATAAAATGGTCTTTTCCACAGCACCAGTCGTGCAAATTTGGGGTTCATTTTCTGCAAGAGGCCCTAAAACCCAGGCAAAATGATTGATTTGACGGCCTTCGCCCCAGCTACGTGAATTCTGAAGGCCTTATCAGACAAAAACGGGAGTCCCTGCCCCCATTTTCCGCAAAACGCATAGTTAGCAGCCGGCCAGAGCAAAAGTTCACCTCCCCGAAAAGGGACTATGACGCGAAGAAGTTCTTTTGGCAGCTGCCGATGTCACTCGGGGTCTCCAAATATAGAAAGACCACTTTTTCGGGGTCATCCTAGGCCAGGTGGAGCCGAATTTGGAACGGCCATCTCGGTCAGGTGCATTGGAATGTGTGGTGGGGGAGCATTGATTTCAGCGTTGGGTTATTGTTGTCGAGAGATGTCGCTGCTGGACTTGTCGAAGTCGTCGCAGCGGGGATGTGCTCGGATGAAGAATCGGAGGAAGAGCCTATTTCCGGAGTTGCTGCCGGTGAAGTCGACGCAGTCGCGGTCGAGGACGATTTATAAACGTGAGTTCAGGGTGTTTAATGGTCTTAAAATCCATAGAAGAAAACTTCGGCTCCTGCCAGTCCATATTTTTGGCCGAACCTACCAAGGTTCAAACTTTTCCAGTTTTTTTGGGTTGGTTTAAATGTGAAAATTTGTAATTTGTGATTTTTCGGGAAATTTTTTGAAGGAGTTCCGGCGCTTCATATGGTTTTGTTGTTTTTGTATTTTGCGAGGTTCTACTCCTGAGGAAATCGTACTTATGGATTCCAGCCTTGCACACCGTACTAATGCTGTGTAGTTTCTAGCTTGCCCTAGCCAGGTGCGATTTCGCATTTGGAATTTTTTATTTGGCCAGGCTGACAAGGGAAGTGCACGACCGGCCCACGAGAAATCGACACGAGACATAGGGAGAAGAACGATACGAGGTTTCCGAATGAATCAGAATTTCAAATAAAACGGAGAAAAAGTTAGAAGCTCAAAGTTGCTCGCCCAAAATCGGACTTTATGGGCCCGAAATCCCAGGGGAACGGAATTGAGGGAAGATTAGTGCCTTGTTCAGCAGAAAGCGCTCAATGAGTTAATACGAGCATTTGCAACAATTCACGAAAAATTTTGGTCACGGGGGGATGGCTTGTCAAGTCATGAACATGAACAGCACAGTTCACTGTTCTTTTGCCTTTCCCGAAAAAGCGCTAACTTTCTGATCCGCTCGGCCTGGCGCGAGAACCGAAATGTCACGCGGCAGGGTTCGGAAAATGCAAAATTTGCGATCGCGGGGAAACTTGGTGATCCTGGAAATCGTGGGGGCAGAAAGTGGCCCTCAAACCTGTGACAGAGATCACAGTTTGTGGCAGTGATTTGTGATCGTTTGCAGGAGAAATCGCAACGGATCAGTTGAAAACTTGCTGCTCATTGATGTTTTTGTAGTTTAAGCCCATCTGGAAAATGGCTACAACTTTCTGTTAGTTAAAAAAATCCCCAGTTCTTGAAACTAACTTAATAATTTTAATTCTCTAAACAATGAAACAATTGCAACTAACATGCCACTTCTTTTGCCCTAGGAAACAAAACCACCATCCCCATGTTTATCGACACTTTTCAACCAAAACTTTCGAAACTTTTTGCCCATCACGGCGATCGGGCGGTCGGCCATCGCCCGGCTTTGCATAATGCTGGCTGCGTTTCGGCTACCGCGGGTAGTTGTGTGTCCGTCGATGAACATTTACTGACAAAATACGATTGGCTAGGCTACAAGACCCTTGGCTAAAGCGCAACCATGGTCTTGCGTCACTCGCGATCCTTTGAGTTCCAAGGTAAGTGGGGGAGTCCTAGAATATATTTTCACACTTTTGGTGATCAATTTTGCGCATTTTTTGCTCCACAGCTGTCCTATTTATTCGACAAAAACTCTTCCGGACCACCGGATGCAATATCCGGCCCCACCGATCCCTGCGAGACCATGGTTGATAACAATAATTTGGCGCCCCCACGCGCGCTGGTCTTCACGCGTAGCCAGTGGTCGCGCTTTCACATCCCGAAAATAAGGGCCTGACCCAACATTTTTGGAATTCTAGCTCGTCCTGGCTAGAAGAAGCCTGCCTCGATTCTTGATAATAAAAAATCAAAAACTTCTAATAAACAATGGGGTTGGGAACTTCCTGGATAACGCGATGGATGAAACGACCGAGGATCGGGAAGGAAATCCGCCTTATTTTGTGAATCCAGGTGACATTTAAAGCTATATACTATATCATATTTACTGGCGGGGGAGTGAAATTTTTAGGTTCTGGTCACTTTAAAAGGCCAGGCAAGGCGTAGACCCGTATTTGGCACGAGCTCGAGCTCAGCTTTTCCATAGCGTAAATTATCATCCTCTTATCAAACGTACGCAGCGCGTATCGCGTTACCGTATCAAATTATGAATTATCTAGCGTAGTTATACCTATAGTCATGTCAGTCACACCCAGGCCCGTAAGAGGGGGCGAGAGGGCGAGCCGCCCCGAAATCGGCCGAAGGCCGAAAAGTTGGCTCTGTACCGATAGCACGGGGCAATGACAACAGAACGGGGCATTGACAACAGAACGGGGCATTGACAGCAGAACGGGGCATTGCCAAGTCCCCGCGGCCGGCGGCCAGCAGAACGGGGCATTGGTTTGGCCAGGGGGGCCGGTGGCCAGCAGCACGGGGCATTGCATATTTTCTCAGAAAAACGTATTTTTATGGTCTCTCGCCCACTTTTTTCCCTGATGATAGATTATAGAAAAATCGACGATACTTGGTATGGACTCCGACTTTACTATGGAAATGGTAGAAAACAGCCTAATTCAAGCAGCTTAGGATAGCGCAAAGGCCTTCGTGTATTAAAGAAATATACCATGCAATCAGAAAAATCAGAAAAAAGACTCTATCGGTTAGGCTAGTTCAAATAACTAGAAAAATTCAGAAAAAAAGCTCGATATCCTGACAAACCCTTTTCCGGGGCCCCAAAAATGACACCAAAACTTTAATATCTCAAATTTCTAGGCTCTGTAGCAGATTCGGAAATCATTTTGGACTTCCCTAGTTAGAAACGTTCGGCCTGCTTGACAAACAGTTCTGTGAATCCAAAAAATATAATCAGAGAAAAAAGTAGGCGAGAGACTATAAAAATACGTTTTTTTTTGAGAAAATACGCAATGCCCCGTGCTGCTGGCCGCCGGCCCCCCTGGCCAAACCAATGCCCCGTTCTGCTGGCAATGCCCCGTTCTGCTGCCATTGCCCCGTTCTGCTGGCTTTGCCCCGTTCTGCTGGCTTTGCCCCGTTCTGCTGGCTTTGCCCCGTTCTGCTGTCAATGCCCCGTTCTGTTGTCAATGCCCCGTGTGTTGTCATTGCCCCGTGCTATCGGTACAGAGCCGAAAAGTTCATAAGGGGGGACCCTTATGGTTTAAATTTTCCAAAAAATCTTTTGCCTGCGGCGCTGTTTTTGTCTATTTTTAACACTAGTTTTAGTGCTATAAACCTTATGTTTTCAAAAATTTTGCCTGCGGCGCTGTTGTTTTAATCATATTAGTGAATCATTTTTGAGGTCGCCCCCGAAATTTGGGTTTGTTACGGCCCTGGTCACACCCCTTTAAACAACTACACCTCCCTGGTAAAAGCACCCCAATTATATAGCTTAATCAATCATAATATTAGACTCGAAACACTTTCCAAATATTTACCACTTTTACTCATCATATATCACCAGGCCCGTAGCGGAACCGAAACTTCGGGGGGGGGCCCAAAAATTTTGGTAACCTCCCCCGTCGCCACTTTTAAAACATCCGAAAATCGCGTCAATAATAGCGCCGCAGGCAAAAAAAAGCAAAAAAGCGTTCGCTATACTCAAATTCGTGTGAAAACACGGCAGAAAACGCGCCGCAGGCGAAAATTTTTTAAGAACAATTGATTCACCAAGGAAAAACCAGCGCCGCAGGCAAAAAATTTTGAAATATAGGCTTCAAAGAAGCAAAAAATGTTAGAAAAACAGTAATGAACAGCGCCGCAGGCAGAGAAATTTTTGTAACTAAAAATCATAAGGGTCCCCCCTTATGAATTTTTCGGAACTCGACCGATTTCGGGGGGCCAGGGCCCCTGGGCCCCCCCCCCCTCCTACGGGCCTGTATATCACCAATAACATACCACCTACGAAACCTTTTCGGGTTCCAAAAAGTGCCCGGCCCATTTGGGAGGATAACCTGTTTCCGAGAGACGATCCATTTTTGGAGAGAACCCTGGCGGGGGACACTCTCGATCAGGGGCGTGCTAAGGCTCCACACATCGCGCGCCACTATTTGACCTGCGAAACTAATTAGACTTCGATTCTTTGCACTGATTTTACGATGATTAATTCGAAAAGGCCGTCGATGCGGCGGATGGCGTCGGTGAAGGAGCATGGTAAAGCTTAAAGCCTGAGAGTTGGCTTTTCAAGGAGCGTGCAAGGCATGGTTATGATTTTTTGGCTATAGGGGTTCTGGATTTTGCCGTTGCCGCGACATAGGTCAATGATATTATTCGACTCGAAACACTTTCCAAATATTTACCACTTTTACTCATGATATATGCAGCGCGCGCCGATTTTTTTTAAGGATCAGCAGGTATTACATTTTGCGGTTTATTCACTATAAATATTTTGACGCGCCCGCCATACTCAAGATTTTTCCCGATTCTCGCGGTTTTACGAGATCTCGCGACACGCAACGCATACGTTCGCTTTTATCTTGCGTGATGGCTTGGGTTATATGTATTTACAGCTGTCAAGCAGGGTGCGCGTTGCGTGTCGCGTCCGCGCTCTGTCGATCAGGATAGCAAAAACCCAAGCGAGGCCTTCCTAGTGCCTTTCAAGGACAGGAGCCAGCAAGTTTTTATAGTTTATAACCTTCAATTTTTTTGGCAGTTTTCTATAGTAGGTATCATTATTCTCTTATCCCTTCCAGTACCTCGCATTTTTAAAGGTATGTCATGAATCACAAGCGTAAGACCATAAACTATCAACACCCCAAAAAATCAAAGATCCCGGGGAAAAGGCACATTATAATGTTTTTTCGCCTGCTCGACCTGTCCGGCCCGGGGATAATCAGCCAGGAACTAGTTCCACACATCCACCGGGATGACTACTCCGCATTACACCTACCTCTTGACGCATCAGATCAATGCCAAAATACGATATTTCAGCCGATCTGCTCCTCGATCCAATATCGGTGTCGCAATCGATATCGCTGGGCCAGCACCCGGATAGTAAGGACATTTTTGGAAACTAACTATAAATGGATTTAAGGTGCTATCGACAATGTTCGTCGTCTGTATGAACGACATGATAATGAGGATGCAGCGCCTCCTATATATTCCGAAATGCTCAAGCTGCAGTATGATGGGAAGATCAGGAGTTGGCATGAGGCTTCGAGGTAGGATAAATCCAAGACTCGTTTGTATTTATGTATTTACCCTTGTTTGTATACAATCGCTTTTAAATCTAGCCCTACATATTCGAAATTTCATTTGGTCGAAATTCTTTTTCCCCGGAAACCATTTTTTTGAAAATTATTTCGTCGACATTTCTGTTTGTCGAAGCCCGTGGAAAATTGAGATCTAGCGTATTCTTGTCCAGTTTGATTATCCAAAAATTTGCATATTCAAACTTGTGGAAAAAGTGACACTCCGACGTACAGGGTGCGTCAAAAAAAAGCCAAGTTTGCACCAAAATATCTCACTTATCTTTGAGAATCGAAGGTACGTTACCATGCCAGAATGCTTAAATATGCTGGGTATGAAGATTTAACACAACTTGATTTTTTCGATTTTTGAGTACGCAACTGTACTATTGAGGCTGGTTACGACCGAAAATTGTGCGTTCTTGAACGGGTGGTGGGAAAATTCTGATTTTTGGCCTATAAATAGTTGACATTTGTAGAAAAATAATAGCAAAGTATTAGAATTTTTGAAGGTTTAGTTCTTTTTTTACAGGCAAAACAAATTTCCCAATTTTGCTTATTTTTACTTTTTAATTCGCAACTCTCTTCAAATACGCTGCCCATGGCTGATCTTTTGCAGGTGGTATCTCCGAATGATAATCTTTAGCACAACACCAAATTTTACCTGATTCTATGGTATTTTAATATTGTTTGCTAAAACGTGCCCCAGAGGGATACTGTAGTTTTTGTTTTTCGCGTTTTTCTTTTTATTGTAAGCTGCGATTTCGCTTAAAATTTTATCATTGGTAAACACTAGTAAGGGTCACTTAGTGGCCAAAGATCGTGGAGTTCTAGCCATATATCTTCCCAAAATATGCAAAAAACTTATTTTTGAATTTAGCCACGGAAATTTCTAAATATTTTGATGCATCGGACTGAAAACTACTATTATTTGTTTTCCCAAAATATCGAAACGTTTCTATGGTGAAAAGAACGAGAAAACGACGATTTTCTGTTTTCTACCGTAACCCGCCTGGAGCGCGTTTTAGCGTGCCAAGACCAAATGCCATAAAATCCCAATTTTTCTATTCTAGACTGTTCACTGGGCGATTGTAAGAGCACCTACAAAAAATTACTTGATTCCTGTGGCAAATGACAAAGTTATCAGGGAAAGAGGAAAACCCCCCTCGGGCCCCCTTTTTGGACCCAACGCCCTGGCTCGAAAATCGAATTTTTAAAAATGAAAAAGGCACCGGGGTTTGGTGGATACAATTAAAGCACGTATTGAACTGTGCATGAGAGCAAAATTTTGGAACGATCTGGCTGAAGTTAATGGTTAATTTTGATTTAAAACCCGAAAATAATGTTTTTGAAAAGTCGACTTTGGGGCGCTCTTCTAAATTCGTTAGCCATGAAAAGGTTTTGTGTTTGCATGCGTTTTAGTTGACTACCCAAGCTTGATCTATGCCAGAAAAGTCGCGCCTACTAAACCCTCGAGAATTTTTATACCTCGTCCCGAATCCGGGTATATTTACACTTTTCATGAATTTCTTTTGAGAGATTGGATGGCCCAATAAATTTGTAAATATAATTTTCGAACGCGCCCATTAAGTAGTGATAAATAAAATTATGACAATAATTCTAGCCGCGCAAATGAATTTTATAGACTGGCACCAAGGTCTGCGAAATAGCACGAACCAACCGTTTTGGAGGCGCTAAAAAGCAACCTTCCAAAGGGGTACGGTAGCTAGAAATTGTGTACATGATAGATGGACCCCAGTCCTACAAAGCAAAGCAAAGCAAACACCGAAACTCTATCTGCAATTTTAGAAATATTTTTCCAAAGTTCAGTTTCGTGACCTCGAAAGAATCCATGACCAGGGGTCGTCGAAAAACTCAAAAATCCGCGGATCTGAAAATTTTTTTTGTTATTTTTGCGGGATTGTATCGAGCCTATAGACATGGGAAAACAGATTATTTTGAGGTTTCCGCCATAGGTTTTTGTAATATTCGAAATTTACGAAATTTCTCCATATTAAATTTGAGCATGCTATAACTTGCCAACCAGACCTTCGAAAATTCCAAAATTTCGGATGTGCGTAGAGGCAGTTCTTATGTATCCACACTGTAAAAACGGAAACCGCCGGACCACCAGCAATTCAGAAAAATGCAAACGAAGTTTTGCCGGAACGCACATTTTTCGGGTGTCATTTGTATGGGTACGTCGCCAAAAATCGAAAAAATCAAGTTGTGTTAAATCTTCATACCCAGCATATTTAAGCATTCTGGCATGGTAACGTACCTTCCATTCTCAAAGATAAGCGGGATATTTTGGTGCAAACTTGGCTTTTTTTTTTGACGCACCCTGTATTAAAATTTCTTAAAAATGAAATCTCGACCAAAGAACGTTTGGATAAAAAATTCTCGACATTCGAATTGAGCGAAATAAAAATGAACCTATAAATACACAACTTTTGAAAGCATGCCTGACCTAAATCATGAGGAAATCTACAGACACTTTATTGGTTTTCTTTATTTTACGCCGTTTAGAAGACTTAGCGTTTTTAACAAATCGTCCTGTTTTCGAAATTTCTATCAATCGCAAATCCATATAACCTCCACTTCCAGATGGATAAAATACGAGCAAGTCGTTGAAGGTGGTGGCACCCGTTTTTCCAAACCACACATCACCCTCCTGAGCTTTCAAGGACTCCTCCAGGTTTGTAATGGCATCACCAGTACCAAAAGTTCATCCCCGAATTAGGCTCGAAATTGTCTGCGCCGTGGCGTCGTGGTCCTTGACTCCACGCGGGAATCTCTTTCTTCAGTTTTTGGTCAGTTTGCCTTTCCGCATGTGTTATTTGCAAATGAGTCGGTGGTCGATCACTTGATTTGATTATCCGCATTTTGGGCGGCACGTGCGGGGGTTGGGAAATCGTGGACAGAGCGGCTTCGTGGAGCAAAAGAGTAAAAATATCGAGAGTGGGGTGTGTGCTCGATGGTCGGTGGGTGAATCAGAGGTGCCGAATTAGCCCCGAGTCAAAGATAAGACAATTTTTTGGAAATCGCGGCTTTTTAAAGGCATCACAGGTATCCTCTAAGGTAACTTTCGGGGTTGAAAACCGCTGAATGGGAAAGAAAAGCTCTAAAATCACAATCAGACGTGGAATCCAAAAGATTTCTGAAGATCTACCACCCAGAAAAGGTTTCCAAAATAGCTGAATTTTTTTCAGATGACATCATCAGACTTTGGGAGGACCGTGCCCTCGTCAATGACACAAATATTAAAGGCGTCAGGAAAGCGCTTTGGGCCCCGAAGGTCCATATGACAATTTCGAAATCAAGTAAGGGCCTTTCGACTTTTTTAGATGCAAATATCTAGGGAGAAATTCCCTCGACCAGGCTTCTGATACCGACGATGAGGATGGAGGAAAGGAGCGGGAGAATCATGAGGTAAAAATCATCAAATTCCGATTTGACTGTATTTGTTTCTTCTGCATTTAAATGAGCTTAAACAGTAATAATAAAAATTACTAACAATTATCATTGGTTTTTAAAACATATTTACCTCAAATTTGAGACGCACAACCACAACGAATCCAACCACCTGACCATCGACACCGGAAATGCTACCGGAGATCTGTCGCAGGCTCACAATTTATCTATTATTTTTCAACACTTTCTGATCTCTGTGATATCTTGTAGTATTTTGTCATTTTCAGTCGAAAAACGCCTTGTCTCCAAGCTGCCGAACAACACCGAGTCGTGCGCAATCCTTGTCGGTCACGTCGCCTCATTAGAGCACCCGACTTGCGCTTTTATACGCCTGAAGACGGCTCAGGTAATTAATAACAGGAAAATAAGATCGACAGAAAATTCTTAGAACTTCTACCCCGAAATCCCGGACATCCCGGTGCCCACCAAGTTCATCTTCGTGCTCCTCACCCCCAAGGATAACTACGAGAACGAGGCCGTAATGATTGGGAGGACATTCGGGGCCCTGCTTTCTGATGAGGTGCGGATACTGCTATCGGGCGGTTGATTCGTATTGAACTCCAGGTCTTCCGACGTGTCGCTGAACACACCCAAGAGCCCTACACGATGGCCGACGCCATCGAGGAGTTCATGTCGAACATGGTGGTGATTCCGCCCGGGAAATGTACGACCGAGACGCGTTGGGAGCCGAAAGATGGGGGAACGGAAGTACGCTTTATATTTTTTTTGAATTTGGACTTAAGCATCATGTTCAGGAAGTCCGACTTGGGCATATGAACAAGCACAAGGTGTCGCTGGAGGGGAGCTGTAAGTTTTCAGCGCATAGTGATACCTAGAACTTGTTGCTTTCTGTCTATTGATACATCACGACGATAGCCATGTCTGCTTGATTTTCCGTTTTACAGCTACTGACGGAGAATCCCACGCTGTTGGCCTTTACCGGACTGGTCGTACTTTTGGAGGACTTGCAGCTGACATTAAGTAAGACAAGAAACAACTAAAAACAATTTTTACAGAGCCAAAATACCGTACTACGTCTCCGATTACACTGACTTCTTCCGGGGACGCTTCTCTCAATCCTCGCAGCTACAGTATTCCTGTTCTTTGCCAACTTGACCTCAATCATTACTTTTGGAGCAGTAATGGGCGTCAAGCTGCACCATGAGATGGTAAATTAACTTGTTTTTAAAGGGCCGTTGAAGCCAAATGATGTACAATTTTCTTCTTGATTTAGGCAACGATCGAAGCAATCCTTTGCGGTGGAATTTGCGGAGTAATTTTTGCCATGTTCTCCGGCCAGCCACTGAACATTCTATCAGCTACTGGACCCACATTGGTGTTTGAAGGGATACTGTACGAATTTTGCAGGTAAATTTGCCCTGGAAAACCTTTAGCAATAATTTTAGGGCGAATGGCTGGGATTTTTTGGAATTCCGCCTACTAGTCGGTATCTGGATTTTCATCATGCTGATGATTCTGACAGCTACAGATGCTTCTGGTAGAAAAAATTGTTTAGCTAAATTTATTTGATTTTTAGCACTTGTTGGGTTGATCACACGCTTTACTGAAGATGCCTTCGCTACACTAATTAGCGTGGTTTTCATCATCCAGGTAAACTTTTAAGAATGTCTAAAAACACGAAGCGGGTTTTTGACGCGCAAAAACTTGTAGATTCTGAAAGCCGAAGCAGAACTTTTTAAATTAATAACCGAAGAATTTTAATGGGATAAATTACAATCCAACTATAGGCGTTCGAAAAACTGATCGGCATCGGAGCAACAGAAGCCAAGAAATCCGCGGCAAAAATGGTACTTGCTTGCCCTAGAAATACCTGGAATATGGTTTCAGGCAGCGCTCCAAGCTTCCGGTTGCAAGTGCTTCGTGGGCAATTCGTCACCGAAGACTCCTTAATCGCCGGCTTTTTCCAGAACGATACACGTGAAGGCGGTAAGCAAAAAATGGCGTAACCATTACTCCTTTGTTCAGCCTGTGATCTCGGTGAATTCCGGGAGCTCGACAACCAGATCGACGTCTACCAATTGTCCATAATTTTGACGTTCGGCACCTTTGCGTTGACATACGCCTTCAAGGAGTTCCGGAAGTCGCCGTTCTTCTCTTCAAATGTAGGTTAAAGGGTTATCCTGGTCGATTGAGAGATCGAGAAATCGGAGAGAGAGAGAGAGAGAGAGAGAGTGAGGGAGAGAGAAAGAGAGAGAGATAGAGAGAGCGAGAGAGAGACAGAGAGAGGGAGAGCGAAAGAGTGTGTGACGAATAGCGGCACCTAGGATCCTTTAACTTCAGATCCGAAACGCCGTTTCCGACTTCGGCGTCCTAATAGCTATTGTCGTTATGACCGCCTATTCGCACTACGTTGGGGAAGACAAAGTCCCGACCCTCAATATCCCGGACAGCTTCAGGGTTTGTTGTTTTACAAATTTAATTTGCCCTCGCCCTTCAGCCGACGAAAGACCGCTCATGGCTCGTGCTCCCCGTCGACGTGCCACTCCACCTGATTCTGATCGCCATCCTCCCAGCAGCTTTTTACACTATTTTGATAGTCATGGATCAACAGATTACTGCGGTTATCGTCAACCGCAAGGATAATCTCTTAAAGGTATAAATTTTCAAATCAGGGAATCGAGAGTATTTTGCAGAAAGGCTACGGCTACCATCTTGACCTTCTCGTCATCGCCATTCTCGTGCTCATCTGCTCATTCCTGGGGCTGCCATTCTTTGTAGCAGCTACTGTGCTTTCCGGTAAGAATAAAGAGAGCGAAAGCGAGTGAGAGAGAGCTTGAGCGAGAGAGAGAGAGAGAGAGAGGGAGAGAGGGAGAGAGAGGGAGAGAGATTGAGACAGACAGATATCAGAAAAAAAAGTTAAAAGAAGACCTTTAGTGATGCACGTCGACTCCTTGAGAGTACAATCCGAGAGTGCGGCTCCGGGAGAAAAGGCACAGATGCTAGGTGTCAAGTGAGCATAAGAGGGCACTAATAAAAATAATAGAATGCATAAAGGTCATAAAATCGCTTTTAGAGAGCAGCGGCTGACGGCTATTCTTGCCCATTTGATGATTGGAGTCTCGGTTTTCTTAACTCCCGTGATTAAGGTATGCTTTTTTCCCATTGCCCGATACTTCATACATCTCACTTAAAGTACCTTTCGATATACTGTTTTCATTTGCTTTTAGCTCGTGCCAATGCCCGTCCTCATCGGTGTTTTCTTGTATATGGGAGTAGTGTCCCTAATCCACCAGCAATTCGTCCAACGAGTCGCACTCTGGTTTATGCCGGTGAAGCATCAGGTTTGGATTGTTTTCCTGTACTTTGAAAGAATATATTTTAGCCCGACTACACTTGGCTACGTTGCGTGAAAATGCGTCGTGTTCACCTCTTTACTCTGATTCAAATGCTGTCTCTTATCGGGCTTTTTGTCGTCAAGTATTCTCCGGTAGTAAAGATGGCCTTCCCGTTGATGGTAAGTATTTTATAGCTAATAATGGTATGGTAATTTTATTATAGTTATAAGATACTTTTCAGCTCATCATTATGGTTCTTATCCGAATGATGCCACTCGAAAAAGTATTCACCCAGTCCGAGCTCAAATCACTAGACGACGTCCTGCCGAGCTTCAAGGAAGTGATGTTCCCGAAAAATCGGGGGAAGCTGAGCATCAAGTAAGCTTGTTAACAAACTGTAGTGCTTTTTATCTGACACATTTTTGTTTTAAAGCTAAAATTCGGTATTTTTAGCCAATACGAAAAAGTCAACCAGGATCCGGAAGCTCTGCTCATCAAGGAGAGCCGGTGATATTGACCGAATCATTTTTTATTTCCTTCTCGAAAAAATTCTATTGTGATCCTAGTTAACCATTGTTTTTAGAATTTGTGTCTTTTTGTGATTTCCATTCCATATCCCAGGGCCACAAAAAGAAAAATCAACCTTTTTTAACCCCAAAAATCGAAATTTTATCTATTCCCGCAAAAAGAGCTTAAATCCCCGAAAACCCCCAAAATCGCAACTTTTTTCACTTTTTCTGCTTTCTAGCTTGAGCAGCGGCTCATGTTTTCTCAACAACATTTATTTTTCATCATTGAACATCTACACCCCCACGCCCTTTGCCTTCGAAAATCATCGCAGGCAGCGGCGCCCCTATTTTTGGTAGTTGAATAGGTTAATCGAATAAAGATGTCCCTTTCCGGCTACCACAAAATTGCCACATCCACTTAAAAAAAGCAGGTTTTTCACCGCCAAAGGCCGAAGGACCACGGAAGGAAGGTACAGGTAAAAAAGGGCTAAGTAAAGATGAAAAGACACTGAAAAACGTCATTCCTAGGACATCGGCGGCTAGAAGGGTAACATACTATCAGGGCGCGGGTGTACTTCGCGAGGGTGAATTGGCTGGGATGGGTATCAAATAGGATGTGGAATAGGGTGGGGTAGATGACAAAAAGCATTATGAATTCCCGACTATCTCTAATTGTTCTTCTACTCGTTGCTCTGATTGCCATGACGCTAGCTGAGCTTGGTGAGTTCAAAAATATGCTGAGTGTCTATTCATGCGTAAACTCTGCCTCTCGATAAGCGCGTACCATTAATGCACCTTATACCCAAAAGGGCGCCAAATGTATTGAATTGAAATTTTGGCTGTATCGGACATTTTAGACCTGGCGCCAATCCAATTTTGCTCTTTTCTAGCAATCTTGAAAATTCAATATATTTTGGTCCATTAACGCTAATATTTTCCATTTTTATAAGCCTCTACCATTAATGCGCCGGAGACCCGAAAGCCCGCCAAATTTAGTGCTTTCAAAACTTCCGCGACTGCTCCTATATTTTTTCTGGAATTGGCCCCAATTAACTTTTAACATTGGGCCTTTTATAATTTTTAATTTACCTTTTTACCTTACCTTTAATTTTAGCCCCCGATCGACCGCTGATCCGGGCAAAACGTCAATATAACTACTACGGCTATGGATATCGCTACCCGGTTGGATATGCTTTGAACACCTGGTCCTATAGCCCGTACAACTACCAAATCCCGGATCTTCACATTGCATCACCATACGGGCCAAGGAATTACCCGTGGTGAGTAAAAATAAAAAAAAATTAGTGTTTAAAAATAAAAAAAAAAAAAATAAAAAAAAAAAAGAAAAATAATATAAGGGGTGTGAAAAAATAAAAATATTTTTAAAAAAAAAAAAAAAAAAAAAATTAAAAAAAAAAAAAAAAATTTTTTTAAAATAAAAATTAAAAAAAAAAAAAATAATAAAAAAAAATAAAAAATTTTTTAATTTTTAAAAAAAAAAATAATTTAAGGTGTTTGGAAAAATTTTTTTAAATTTTAAAAAATAATAAAATTTTTGGGGAAAAAAAAAAATTTAAAATAAATATTTTTTTAAAAAAAAAAAAAATTTTTTTAAAATAATAATTAAAAAAAAAATATTTTTTTTTTTTGGGGGGTTTTTTTTTTAATTTTTTTTTTTTTTTTAATTTTTTAAAAAAAAATTAAATATTTTAAAAATATTTTTATAGAGGGGGGGGGTGGTTTTTTTTTTTTGGTGGGGTTAAATAAAAATTTTTGGGGAAAAAATTAAAGAAATTTTAAAAAAATAAAAAAAAATAAAAAAATTAAAAAAAGGGAAAAAAATTTAAAAAAGTTTTTTTTTATTTTTGGTTTTTGGGGGGTTTTCTGTGTTAAGGGTGGGGTTGTTTTTGGGGATTTTTTTTTTAAATTTTTTTAAATAATTAAAATAAAAATTTTTTTTTTTTTTTTTTTTTTTTAATTAGGGGGGAAAAAGAAATATTAAAATATAGGTTTTTTGTTTTTTTTTTTTAAAAAAAAAATAGAGGGGTAAATTTTTTGGTATTTTTTTTTTTAAAAATTATAAAAAAAAAAAGGGTTTTTTTTTAAATTTAATTAATAATATTTATTTTTAAAAAAATAAAATTTTTAAAATTTAATTAAAAAAATAAAAAAAAAATTTTTTTTTTTTTAAAATAAAAAATAAATAAAAAAATTTATAAAAAAATAATTTTTTTTTAAATTTTAAAAAAATAAAAATAAAATAAAATTATTAAAATTATTAAATAAGGGGTGGGGGTTTGGGGATTTTTTTTATAAGGTAAAAAAAGTTAAAATTTAAAATTTTTTAAAATTTTATATTTTATAAAAATTTAATAAATAAAATATTATAAATTATTTTTTATATAAAAAAATAATTTTTTTAAAAAAAAAAAAAATTTTTTTTTGGTTTTTTTTTAATTTTTTTAAAATAAAAAAATTATTTTTTTTAATTTTTTTTTTTTAAAAATTTTTATAAAAATTGGAAAGTTGGTGTGGGAAAAAAAAATTATAAAAAATAATAAAAATTTTTTTAAGAATAATTTTTAAAATAAAAATTTTAAAAAATTAATTTTAAAATTTTTTTATAAAAATTTAATATTAAAAAAATTTTATTTTTTTTTTTTTTTAAATTAATAAAAAAAATTTTTTAAAAATTTGTTTGTTTTAAAAAAAGATTTTTATAAATTTTTTTTTTGTTTGGGGAAGGGGGGGGGTTTTTTTGTTATTTGGTTTTAAAAATTAAAAAATTTTTTTAAAATTTAAATTAAAAATTTTAAAAAAATTAAAATTAAGTTTTTTAAAAAAAATTTAAAGGTATTTTATTTTTTTTTAAATTATTTTTTTAAAATAAAATTTTTTTTTGGATAAATATTTTTTAGAGGAAAAAAAATTTATTTTTAAAAAAAATTTTTTTTTTTTAATTTTAATTTAAAAAAATAAATATTAAAAAGGAAAAAATTATAGGTTTTTTTTTTTTTTTTTTTTAATAGGAATTTTTTTTATTTTAAATTTTTTTTATAAAATAAAAAAATTGTTTTTTTTAAAAATATTTTTTAAAATAAATATTAAGGTTTTAAATAAAATAAAATTTTTTTTTAAAAAATTTTTTTTTTTTTTTTTTAAAAATTAAATTAAAAATTTTTTTTTTTTTTTTAGCGATTGAATAAATATTTTTCCGGATCCGTCATAACAACAACCGAATCAATCGTAATACAGGTGGATAAATGGGCAAAGACAAATAACGCGCAAAAATCACCTATGTTTGCATACGCCGTGGGAAAATCTCGATCTCGATCACTCATCAAGGGCCCTAAAACCCACATCCTATTCTGTTTCTGGAGATACTCAGAGAAAAAATGCATCGGTCGACAGTTCAGCCTACCAAGCAAAAAATATCGCGAAAGTACACTAGATTCCATAACACTACATTCTATTGCATGAATTTGTTTTGATTTGAAGTCCTCGTCGTCGTTTCTTATTCCTTAATGCCAGGAAGTTTAAAACGTATAACTTACGCACCACGGAATCCAAAAATGATCTCTTGGTGGCAACACGACTGTTTTTCTTTTCCCCAACGACTATCATTGCTAAGGGAACGAGTGACAATTTCTTGCAACCTACGGGAAAAGTTTATTCATTACATCGGCAATACATATTAAAACTTTAGACGCTTGCTGTCGATGGGCGTTGCGTGGTACTCTGAGCCTGAACCTCGCAGAGCTCCATTGTCGCATCAAAGATCGCCAGGGGCGACATCAAGGGGACCGGCATTGCCGCGAAATCAGACGTATCCTTTCCATCAAAAATGAGTCAACAAGGTTAGCGTGCCATACGTGCTCTTGGTGTGTTTTGTTTTTGGTGTAGTCGCGACCAGCGGCGGCAAACTTGCTCGCGTCGCTGAAAAGTGTTTTTATTTGCAAGTAAATAGGAAATGAAAAGCTAAAGTCCGTAATCTGAAACGGTTTAAATCTTATTGGTAGAAAATGGCTTGCGAATCATTTATCATACCTTCCAGTAAAAAGTACAATAACAGCGTCTTGTACAGTCCAGCCGCTCAACGCTTCGGTTACACTGTTCTAAACGATAAGTCCAAAAGCATAGAGACCAACTAGATAATGTCGAGATGGCCACCCTGCACGCCGAAATTCACTGGGACCGCGTTCATGTCATAATAGAAGATTGTCGGAATGGGGCCGTCGAATGCTCCACCACGACTATACCTCCAGAATGCCATTGAGACATTGATTCCATTTGCCCCAGCTCCCGTGTATAAATCGACCATGGTCGCCATAAGGGTCGAAGCCTCGGACTGCTAGAAGCAAAACTGAAGTCAGTGCGTGCAACATTTTATTTTTCAGTAACTGGTTTGTGTCAACAGCCCGCAAAAATTTGCTAGAATTGATTCGAAAAGTTTGAAAGGTCGAGTTAAAACATGTGATACCTACCGGAGCGGCATCCGTAACGTCCGCCACCAGCAACACTTGGCATTTCTGTTTTAGCGAAGCTTCTATTGCAACGGAGTATTGAAATGAGTGCGCCACGAAAATAAAGAAAATAGGCGTTTTTTGAAGCATCGGCGTCATTCAGGAATTTGTCGCGCTCAGGTTGTGGATAGCAAGGCTGATTAGCGAGCGGCCATAGGTCGAGGGAGACCCATTAAAGCCCCTGGGGCGCTTCACGTTCATGATAAGCTTCTCGTGCGAGAATCACTCTGCTGCTTGCAGGTGAGAAAAACACGCATCGATCGACCAAATTCTTGAATAGCATCCATCGTCGGTCTGCCCGAAAGAATGACGATGCATGAAAAATGTAAAACTGTTGGATATACAGCGGTACGAAAACTTTATTGATAGCTTATGCCGTGCGGGTTGCTGTTATTCTGTGACGGTGGCATCTGACGTTATGCAATCGGTGTCTGAAAATGGTAATGAGGCACTTTTTTGCAAAACTTGGTTTTGGTTTTTCGCATCCTAGTCTCGGCCCGAGACTCTCGGGCAGTGCGCTAGTTTATTCCAAACAAACTCGCTTTCTCAAAACGGAGCCTGCCAAAATACCGTGCAAGAGTCCCGGAACTCTGAAATCCATTCATCATCTAGCGGAAAAGTTAACGGCCTCGCGATCCGGCTCATATCTGCGCCTGAAACCAGGGTGGTTGCAGTTTTGCTTTGTAGCTCGCAGTTTAAAGGTTCTTACATAGTAACTGACCTTGTAAATTGAACCCATACATGTTTTCCCGGAAGCTAATATCCGAGATCGCGTCTATTTCAGCTTGAGGACTAGAAGAATTGCTGCGTCATGTGAGTGATACCTGTTACTGAAGAAGAAGAACCTCGCATCATATCCCCAGTAATTTTTTTCCCTTTGAAAATACGCGATAATGCTAGAACACCAGATGGAAGAGAAATTTGTCGAACTTGGCAAGGGTTTGGTCTCGTGCACCAGACTCCGTAACGTTTTCGCTTATGCTCCTGAATCCACGCGCCCAGTCTGCATATGAGTGTGTATTGCCAGCCGTATGAAAATCTGGCGGAACGAACCCCACCTAGTTCAGAATATTTGCTTAGAGTGCCAACCCACCTGACCGATGACCCCGGCCCTGCCGGCAAATAGGAAACGTGCATCCTGCATAGCCTCAAACATTGTTGCCATGGAAGATTCCATCAATCGATGTTGCAGCTCAAAATGCGGCTGAAATAGTGGAATCGGTTTTGGACGGTTGACGCAAGCTCACCCAGCCCTCTTTAGAACCGTCGAAGTAGAAGGCGATGCCGCACTCATGGTTCGGTTTCCAAAAAGGGGTCGTGGGCGCGGTTGGGTAGGGAGTTGGGTCCGGAGGGAAGGTTGGGTTGTCAGAGGGTCGGAACCCAGACCGACAGTACTCGTCTATCGCCTTGGGCATGGTTTGCGTGAGGGCCAAACCGACAGGGTACGCAATGCGTTTGAGGTTAGCACCTGGAACGGATGGCCTTTTAGGGCAATGGAACAGCCTCGTTCTCCCTTTCTATATACAGAAAAAGAAGAGAAAATCCGGCCGCTAACAAGGAGACGTATTTGAGCCACAAGTGAATTTTCGTACGGGAGCCAACCTAACTTGTGCAGAATTTGGTGCTGATTTCAAACCTGTTTTCAAAAACTGCGAAACGATCCGATTCAAAAAGCTTTGAAAGTTATAAGTGCGGAAAAGCCCCCAAAAATTCTCAATTTCGGCAAAATTTTGCCTTTTCCACCCTGAAACGGTTCACAAGTTTCTTCGGATCTACAAAATTTTATACCCTTTTCGTATATTTTGAAATTAGCGTCGCAACCAGCGCAAAAATCTGCACAAGCTACGCTTGCTCCGTACGCAAACTCGATTGTCACTAAAAACGTCTCCTGGTAAAAAAGCCCTCTGCTGATTAGGTAACCTGAAGCCAAAACCTGAGAATGCGTGTCCGTAGACGAATAAATTATTTGCCGACACTGGTTGCACGGCATCGACCGCTGATTGGTTGCTGCAGGCGGATTTTGTGTGTGGTTCTAAATTCGCACCTGTTGGTGAAGATTAGAGCAACGGCCTGGCCGCTTGTATTGGTCGCAAAGGCCTGCAGCAGCTCGATGGACCTAGGACGGAGTGAGTGGAAACGCGGGAACTAATTACTTGGCCACTGTGGTATTCGTCGCATTTGCCAAGCTAACATACTGGCTTTCAATTTGAAAAAAGTAATTTAGACCGTAGTAGCTGTTGGTGGGCGAGTAAACGGATACAGGACCGTTCGGACCACGCTACAAGTAGATTTTTTGCCATAGCAAGGCTGTCCTACCTGTCCCACGTGCAGGGCGCGCGCATAGAGCTGATATGGTGAAGTTACAGAAATTTGGAATGCCTGTCGGCCTATTTGTCGCATGTAGTCAATCTGTGTTTCGTAGGTATCCTGAACAGGGCGTTTGCCTGAATGTTCAACAGCATATTTCTCTGTCCGAGCTATCCACTGCTTCCGAGGTTCTCGAACCTATCCACTACCCACCCAACTCTCTAAAGAAGCGTCCAAAACGAAGTACAGCAAGCAACTGGCGCGTCGATAGAATGGTGTCGGCATTGTCGGCGGGATTGTGCTTACACCTTGAGCCTCGTCTTTGCATAACTCCATCGTGGCGTCAAAGATGGAAGGGGGTGACAGCATGGGCACAACTTTTGTCGCAAACGCCGAAGTGTCTTTTCGATCCAAAGCGAGCTTGGAATTTTAGCGTCGGAATCTGATCAACCTGCCACCCCGATCGTCCACTCTTTGCGCATGTAGTCCCGGCCAGCCGCATCGATATTGTTCTGGTCGCTGCAAAACTGTATCGTATCTAGGTCCCAGGGAAGGCCAACCAATACCAAACCAAAAAAGGCTTGAGGAATTAAGCTGACCTGCCGGTGAAAAGCACGATAACTGCGTCGTCCACTTCCCAAGCACTCAGCGCTTCGGTGGCACTATAGAGAAAATTACGGGCTTGTGACCAATATTACGAACGAGATAATGTCGAGGTTGCCTCCCTGCATCCCAAAATTTACTGGCACTGCGTCAATGTCATAAAAAAATTTCGTCGGGATCGGCCCGTCAAAAGATCCTCCACGGCTGTATCTCCAGAACGCCATCGAGATGTTGAAACCATTTGCGCCAGCACCGGTGAACAAATCCACCATCGCGGCCATCAGTGTGGCAGCCTCAGATTGCTAAAACTGACGCTTCGGAAGAGTTTGAAAACCCAATTTTAATCATCTGCGCCCGTTGGCAATTAAAGAGTTTTTCAAAAATCCCTAAAAATGACCAGACATGGAAAACGAGATAGAACTTGTAAAGCCTACCGGGGCTGCATTCGTAACGTCTGCGACCATTAACACCTTGCATTGCCGCTGAATCGGCAGTTCCAACGCGAGGGAGTATTTGAACAGCACCCCACAACAAAATATGAACCAGCGCGTGTTCCTGTGCATTAGCAGAAGCACCATTTTTAACCTATTAACGGCTGTTTTCGCTAGCAACAACAGCGAATCGAAGCGAACACACAAGGCGCTCAATGAGGCCCGTAAAATTCTGCGGCTCGTGTGGAATTTGTGATAAGATTTTTTTGCACGTTCGGGTCGCTGTTGGAGTAGATTTTTGATGAATACGAATTTTAAGCCGCCCCGGTACGCTTCGATAACGAAAAATTTATTTGACCCCATATACGATTGTTGTTTTGAGAGAGAAATCAGCTCTACTGGTGAATCAGGTATTCCAAAAGTTGGCCACAACAAGTGGTTTTGGAAAAATTTTCTATGCTAAAAATGATATTGGAGAAGTCCAAATTTCGAAAATTGCGTGTGCGGGGAGCCCACCTACTGGTCTAAATGCTGAAGCTTTACTGCTGAAAAGTATCAGGGAAGGTTAAAATTGCGTGAAGGTTCCGTAAATGGCATGTGAGCGTGCCTCCCTTTGTCAGCTACATGCACATTTACAAGAGCTTACTTTTCTACCGCGGGATATGGTTGATTTCTTTCCAAAACCGATTTTACAAGATTTTGAGACCGTTTCCGTCCGATTTCGAAAAAATCACTGTAACTTGTGAAAGCAGGCTCCTCCGAAAATTTGGAAAACAGATTCGAAACCAACAAAAAATCCTGCACAAGATAAGTCAGCCGCAAATCAGATTCTCAGCCCGTAATGTGGTAAAATAACTTTCAGGGATCGCCAAATCGCGTTCGAAAAGTTTGGATATAACCGCTTGGGCGAGGTTTCTGAATATCACGAGAAGTACCCGCCAAGGAGGTAACCCTGATGGATCCACCTAATCCATCCAATCCATCTAACCTACCTACTCCATCTGATCCACCAAACCAACCTAATGATCTGATGCATTTGGCAGACTGAGGAGCCCACACAATCGAACAATTAATTTGAACACAAATAAATCATACTCTATTACCGTATTCCCTTTAATTTAACCCACGGTCAAACGGCGAGTTCGCAACGAACTTCAAAGCCATGTCTTCATTCAAATGCGCTATTTTAGAGCTATTTTGCAAGATTTACCGGGTTCTCGGGATTGCATACTCTGATACCGTTTTTATTAGCGAACAAAATGATGCTCCAACATTTATACGATTCACACGAAACAAAAACGCACTTTGAATAGCTATAGGTTTTTCCAGAAAAAAGGAGATAATTGATAAATAGTTACTGACGAAAATGCGAAAATTGGTCTATACTTGAGAACCTAGACATTCGAGAAGACGACATAGTAGTGGTGTGTGTGGGATAGACCCGGATTTGGAGAATGGAGTGGCTTGGGGTGCCTGCGAAGCAGCAAAAACACATAAAATGTCATAAAAATCAGACCAGGATACGGGCTACGGATCTAGAGCAGAGCAAGAGGCAACGGTGAAGAAGCGCTGACAAGAAATTGGTAAATGCATTAATAGAGCAAAAAAATAAGAATTCGGGGGACAGAATTAGCCTGAATGAGATCGCAGAGATCAACGGATCAGCCGAGCCGATCACCTACCTGGGGATCGGCTCCAGGGGAATATTAACGGGGTATTAAAGGGATGCCGACGGCAGAGGCAATCGTTTACGCGCTGGAAAGAAAATGTCTCTGCGCCTCTCCACAGGGCGCGCTCTCTGCCCTGTTGGCTACTTGCCAATTTGTTGATGGGGGATGGACACATGCCTTCAGCAGCCCTTTAAGGGGTTATTAGGAGGTAAAATTCAAACATTTTCCGGCGGGCCCATTATCGAGAGATTCGAGCGGCCGGTGTACGGGTTCGGGGTCGAGAAGTTTAGGCTAAAATCGAAGGATTAGGGTATGGTTTGGGTCTTGATTTTTTCGGCAATAGCCATTTCACGTTGCCTGCATCCTCCTGACGCGAATCCATGCGCTGTGCACGCGTTGCCATCGCGCTGCGGCTTTCAAACGCGGTGTGTGCGCTTACTCAATGCGCTGCGGCAGCGGACGCGATGCATTGCAGCCGCGTCGCGGTCGTTTCAAACGCGCTGCGTTGCGCTGCTGTGGTGCGGACACGTTGCGAAATTACCCATCGGTTGGCGCAAAGTGCCTACAGTGCGCCCCTTAACCTTGAATGAAGCATCCGGGCAGGAGCGCCATTTTTGGCTTTCGATTCCGTAGCAATTCTACCGGGCCGCGACACGCAACGCGATCCCCCTGTTCAGCCGTTTTGAAGCGACCTCCTTACATCGGCCAAGAGGCTTGCGCGTTGAGCAAGTTGAGCAAGCGTTTGATTAAGGGATTAAGGGGTAGGCCGGATGTAACTGAATTTCATGATTCACTTACCACTTTGGGGTTGTGGGCTCGGAGTGGGTGAATGAGTGGGGGTGGGGCAACGGGCGCGGCGACACCGACGGGTCCAATGGGGCAGTGTGATCCAGACTCGTCTTCGAATTCGACGTCCCACATTGCATTAACGCGGGCACCGGATTCGATGCGAATCTGGAGACGCCCTGCCTGGGCTGGATGATCACAGCCGACGTGTTTCGCCGTTGCGGCCCCGGCGACTTCGTGTAGTCATCTAAAAAGGTAGTGTTAACGCTGAAACCGAAGATTTAAAGTTCAACCACAAGCCTTGCACAGCAAATATGTATAAAACGGGGGCGGGGCCAAGGAAATGGGCGGGGCTAGGCCCTGGAAAATGAAAATGACACCAGAAAATGGGCGAGGCGGGCCGGTGAGAACACGCTGCTAATGATGGCAAATCATAGAAAAATGGCAGGATTACAGTAGCTGATCATTTTGCGGAAAAGGAGGCTGATAGTTATTTTAAAGGTTTTTTTATAGAATTTAAGAGGTCGCGAAAACAACAACCTTTTTTTAGAAAACTGAAAATTTAAACTATTTATAATGTAAATATATTTCATTCTAGGCATTAATTTAATGGTATAACTATCATAAACTATAACGGAACTCTAAAACTGTTATTTTTCAATATTAGCAACTTTTGTTAGTCAAAGCAAAACAATAAAACAAAAACTTCGCAATTAGCATTAACGCGTAGCATCGGTTAAAAATTGTTGGATTTTGCGATTATTTAAAATTTGTGGAAAACTAGCGAAAAATAAGCGAATTTCTGCAGTTATGTAATAGGGTTAGAAGGCGTGCTGATTAGGCAATTTCTGCGAGAGAAAAGAAATGTATTACTGGCCGGCTAGCTCACCTTGGCTGGCGGGGGTTAGCCTGAATCGAATGGCAATCGTTAATAGAGTTATATATTAAAGTAACACTTACTCTTTGAGCCGACCGATTTCATGGAGTGGCGGCTATAGTTGTTGCCGGGCTCGGCGTGGATGGCAGATTCGATTTTGTCCTGGAAGGGAAAGTTTGCTCAAGTTGAAAATTCAGCCAAGAACAGCCTAACCGAGCGCCCTTAGAGGGATACCCAAGGTTTTGGTGGTGGAAATGTATAGCTATGTATTCCGGGCAATACAAATGACACGGGAATTTTGTGCGGCAATGAGGCGCCAGTGCCGCACAGAATTCGGACAGCTTTCCCTCTTGTGGCATTCGATCGACCCAATGGCTAGCCACTGTGGCCTAATGGATAGCATCCAGGCTTACAAAGCGGTGCTCCCGGGTTCGACCCCCGCCCGCGGAATGGTTTTTTTCTTTTTGAACCCCGAAAAAGTTGGGCATCCCTTTAATGGCATACGGACATCAGAAAGCGACCTCCAGCGTCTCTACGGCTAGACAACCACGTATAAATCCAAAACGTGCATTCGGGAGAAGTTAATTCAACATCAAACGCTATATGTACGATACAATTAATCTCTCGGTCGTCAGTTAGTCCGAAAGGTAACTGTCGGCACCTAGTCGAGACCTAGTCAACGCGAGGGGTCGATTTTGGCACTTTCTAGCCATTTCGAACACAACAAGAAGCTTTTTTTCTAGCCTTAACAGCCAGCTTTCAAGGCAGGAGACAAGCAAGCAAGTCAGGACTTGTCTAAATTGCTTTTTAAGCTTTAAATAATCAGATCCGAAAGTTTTCTAAGCTTTGAGCTCGGAAGAAATATCGCAAGCACACAAGCGTGGGAACTATGACATGGAAAGCAACATAGGCCTCAGGCATCAGCGTCCTGCTGCTGGTCACCCCAAGACAGTGATTACAGAAACAACCAAGCAACCCAAGCCAAGCCAGTGTAGCGCGCAAAAGCCGTCGTGAGGCCGGGTCTCAACACCCACCGCCTGTGAAGGAGCATGCACCATGTCCGCCATGGTCACCACCGCCACGGCCGGACTCTCACTGCACGCGCTGCTCACCGAGGAATCGGACAATCTCCGGGGGCGCACCATCATTTGGGTGGCCGCTTGGCGGTCGGACCTGAATTCGTAGAGTAGGTTTTAGAACTTCATTAGCTTCAGATGACCTCATCAATTGGGTCGTTGTCATCGCCGTAAAAAACTTTGCAAAAACCTACCTCTGCTGCGTAGCATTTTGGAGAACTGACGTCAAATGCTCGACGAGCCGCTTGAATCTTCGGACGGGACCAGCAAGCAGTGAGAATTGCACGA